CTTAATAGTAGTTTTTTTTTTTTGTTGTTGTTGTTGGAAAGGGAGTGCTGGGAGAAAGTTGTACTCATTTAGGATGGTAATGACTGCTGTCACTTTCCCCCAGATATATAACTCAAATTTTATTTTGTTTTACTTTTTTTGAGACAGGGTCTCACTCTAGTGCCCAGGCTGGAGTGCAGTGATGCAGTCTTGGCTTACTGCAACTTCCGTTTCCTGGGCTCAAGGGATACTTCTGCCTCAGCATTCCGAGTAGACAGGACTACAGGTGCAAACCACCATGCTCAGCTAATTTTTGTATTTTTTGTAGAGATGGAGTCTTGCTGTTTTGCCCAGGCTGTTCTCAAACTCCTGAGCTCAAGCACTCTGCCTGTCTCAGCCTCCCAGACTACTGGGATTATAGATAGGAACTACCATGCTTGGCCTTCACTCACATTTTAATATTATGTCCATAAAGTTTTGGAGCAGATCCAGACTATGGATTTTTGAACTATGGAATAGGAACTAGGAAGATATGAAGAATCAATTTACTCTTCTTTTTTTACTAGTACATTTTTGTTTTAAGTGGTAAAGTTGACTGTCAGTTATGATTCTAAGTAGAACAGCATAGGTTTTATAGTTAGTAGACTTCAATTCTAATTTATGATATAAAGTTATTATTAGTTTGCAACTTCATTAAGAATTTTTCTTTTATTCTGTGTCTTTGTAAATATTTTTGGAGATACTGTAAAATTTAGGGTCAGGGACTGCTCTCCAAATGCACTTAAAATCAATGTGACCCCCCTTTTTGTTGCTTTAAACTTTAGTCCCAAATGGAAAGCTATATGTTTAAAGTTTTTTAAAAAAAATCCTATATGATCATTATAAAAGAATTCATATACTTTAGAAAAATGCAAAGTAGAAAGGGAAAATGGCCCATAATTCTGCTAACAGTTTAGTGTGTATTCTTTTTTAATCCATATATTCATATACAGATATATTCTTTTTTAAAAAATCAACATGGGTTGTACTTCAGATGTATTCTAAGGATATCTTAGATCCTTCTCCCATTAAATTTTGTATTCTTACATGTAAATAAAATTACTGGTATGTGCCAATTTTATATGTTAGGCTGTTTTTGCATTACTATAAAGAAATACCTGAGGCTGGATAATTTATAAATAAAAGAGGTTTAGTTGGTTCATGGTTCTTCAAGCTATACAAGCATGGCACCCTCTCCTTGGCTTCTGGTGAGAGCGTCAGGAACCTTACAGCCATGATGGAACGTGAAGTTGGAACAGGCACATCACATAATGAGAGCAGGATCAAGAGAGTGAGGGCCCCCCCCCCCCGGGGATTGAATTTCAACATGAGATTTGGAGGGGACAAATACCCAAACCATATCATTCTACTCCTGGCCCCCAAATCTCATGTCCTTCTCACGTGGCAAATTACAATAATTTCTACTCCATATCTTAACTCATTCCAACATCAAGTCCAATATCCTAAGTGTCATCTGAGACTCATTTGCTGTGAATCTGTAAAATCAAAACAAGTTATTTCCTTCCAAAATACAGTGATAGTACAGGCATTGGGTAAACATTCTTGTTACCAAAGGGAGAAATTGGCCAAAAGAAAAGGGTAACAGGCCCCATGCAAGTCTGAAACACAGTAGGGCAGGCAGGAAATCTTAAAGCTGTAATGTAATCCTTGACTCCATGTCCCATATCCTGGTGGGCCCCTATGTCTTGGGCAGCTACAGCCCTCTAACTTCGCAGGATACAACCCACGTGGCTGCTGTCATGGGTTGGGGTTGAGTACTTGTGGGTTTTCCAGGCAGAAGGTGTAAGCTGCTGGTGAATCAACCATCCTTGGATCTGGAGGGTTGCAGCCTCCCTCTACTAGCTCCACTAGGCAGCATCCAGGTGGGGACTCTGTGTGGGGGTTCCAACCCCGCATTTCCTCTATGCACTGCCCTAGTAGAATATCCTGTGGGGACCCTTCCTGTGTGGCAGGCTTCTGCCTGGGCACCAGGCTTTTCCATACATCCTCTGAAATCTAGGTGGAGGCCGCCAAACATCCTTCATGCTTGCTTTCTGAGCATCTGCAGACATCAGACCATGTATAAAGTGTCAGGAATGGTGGCTCGTGCCCTCTGGAGCTGTGGCCTGAGCTGTACCTGTACCCCTTTGAGCTGAGGCCGGAACTGGAGCAGTTGGGTTGCAAGTAGCAGCCTCCTGGCATGGCACAGGGTACTGAGTGTTCTTTCCTTTTAGTCCTCAGAGTGCATGAACAGGGGATCTCTGAGATCTCTGAAATACCTTCAAGGCCTTTTCTTAATTGTCTTGGCTCTCAGCTCCTGGCTCCCTTTTAGTCATGCAGATCTCTCTAGCAAGTGGTTGCCCAACAGCCTACTTAGGTTCTTCCCCTGAAAATGGGATGCTTCTTTTCTGGCTGGGGCTGCAAATTTTTCAAACTTTTACATTCTACTTATATCTTAAATATAAATTCCAATTTAAAGCCATTTCTTTGCTCCCACATCTGAGCATACGTTATTAGAAGCAGCCAGGCCTCATCTTGCACACTTGGCTGCTTAGAAATTTCTTCCACTAAATATCTTAAGTCATCACTCTTCTTAAGTTCCAACTTCCACAGATCCCTAGGGCATAAACACAGTGCAGCCAAGTTATTTGCTAAGGCATAACAAGGGTGACCTTTACTCCAGTGTCCAACAAGTTCACCTGCCACATAGTAATGCTGAAAAATATTGAGTGAATGATGCCATAATGAAATGAACAAGTATGTTTGATTATCCCATTCCTTGTGGATATATAGGTAGTTTATAACTTTCTTCTGTTATAAACGATATCTAATTGAACTTCCTTATACATATATCTTTGTACAGTTATTTTCTTAAATTTCTAGAATTAAAATCTCTTGGTAAGTACATGTATACATTTAAAATGTATACTCTAAAATCGTCTTCAGAAAGCTGAAGTTTTACACTCTACTTCTAAAATGTTTACCAATGTTAATTTGTATTAATTATCTTTAACACCTTAGTTCAATAAATGAAAAGTGCTACTTTTAAATATAATTATTTAATTTTTAAAGATTGTTTCTCCCTTATTCAGCCATCCTCTATAGGTATGTTTCCTACGTATAATATATCCAAGCAGTTCCTGAATTAATCATAAAAGCAAAGTTGTTTGTCCATAAGTAAAGGAAGGAAGGTGCTCTCTATCACAGTCTCAGAATAAATGGTAGAGAGTCCTTACCTTTGTGTCTGTAAAGTCTATTCCATTTCCTCTAATTTTTCCTTTTATATGCAACCTCAAGATTTATCTACTAGCATAGTTTTATTGGCAGTCTTTCCAGTTTTAAACAGAAGTGAATTTTTGGAAGGAAGAATTTCTCAGACTTACATTAAAATGTAACATACCGTATATAAATTACTAAATGTACTTCTGTGATACTGATTTGATAAAATCAGCTTTATAAAATGATAATCCAGCTCCTATAAAGTGACATTTGAGTTCCAATGTTTCAGTTAAAATTTATAAGAATAATATTAATAGAGTTTCATCCAATTTAAGAACATTTTTCGCTTTTCAAATGTGAAGTATGATTTTGTATTCTTTTAGCATTTATTAATAGCATCTTATGAAGAAAGAAAATTCAGTGTATCTTGTTTTGCAGATTCATGTCTCTTGATCTGTCACAGAATTAATGAAGTGAAATTCTATTTGGGACTAAGATTCTATTTTATGCTTCAGCTGTCTAAACATTGACAGTAGTATTTTAAAAATCACATCTTGATTACCAGTAATCAAATTAAAGTGGATAAATGTGTGAAGATTTTAATACTTGAATGAAAGTCTGTTTAAAAAGTGGAAGGTTATACATACTGTACAAGCCAAACTGTAAACTAATGTAAAGATGCTTGAATGATATAATTTTACAGACTTTTAATAAACACATTTCTTTATCAATGTTGAGTAATGTCACAACCTGTAAGCCAAATAACTAGTGGAAATCTCTCAAATTATTCTGTTAGTCAATAAGATTGAGTGCTTGAATGATTTCGATTTAGCTTATGTTGAGTCAGTAAGTAGTTAAGCTATAATTGAATCCAATTCTGCCTGATTTCAAAACCCACAGTCTTTTTACTATCATGCTGTAGCAATGTTATACGTTTTTTTCTTCTGTCCTTAATATTTGTTATCTAAAGGTAGTAATTGACAAAATGATTGTAGAGATCAGAATTCTTAAAATAAAAGGTTATTTCTCAACATCTTTGTTTCTCTGAACTTCATTACCTCCTGGTTTGCTTTCTACCTGTATAAATTGCGAAAACATACGGGCTTTGGAATTCCATAAACATGAGTTGAAATTCTAGCTTTCCATTTGATCTTTTCCTAAGTAGTTAACTTATCTGAAACTTAAAAGTTTCAATGATTGTAGTTATCCAATTTTTCTTGTGACATAGAATTTAATAAGTGTAAAGAACCTAGCACGGTGCTTGGCAAATAAGAAGTCAGTTAAAGTCTGTTTCTGATAAGAGTCCTGGTTTCTTTGCTCATACTTGGGGATTTGATGGGTACTTGTTCATACTAAGTACTGATAATCTTTGAATAAGGTAGTACCTTTGTTTTGTTCCTTAAATATTTGTACCTTGTTTTTATGAAATATGAGCTGTAATGAAAAATTATATCCTTCTAATTGAATAAAATATAAATGTTATTTCACTGAAAATTATGTTGCCATTATATGTTATTGTTTAAAGATAACAAACTTTGTTGGGAAATAAAGTATTTTTAATATTAGATTTGGGTTAACCAAATTCTTTTCTTTCTTTTCTGTCATTTAGTTCAAGTTATATATACAAAGTCATCAGAGGAAATTTAAATTCATTTTTAATGATTATGTATATTATGAATTGTTTAATAACCAGCAATTATACAGAATTGAGATGCCATTGACTTTCAATTCTTTCAAAACTTTGTGTTTTTTTTTCATCTTAGGACTAGACCTTATCTGTTTAAAGGAGATCATAAATTTCCTACAAACAAAGAGAACTTACCAGTGGTGATTCTCTATGCCGAAATGGGTACTAGAGCATTTAGTGCATTTCACAAAGTATTGTCTGAAAAAGCTCAAAATGGGGAAATTCTGTATGTTCTTCGCCATTATATTCAGGTATGTGCTTGTTTTTCCAAGGTTACTTTTGGCTGCAGAAAAAACAATTACTGTAATAATTTTCTTACTAGATTTAAATACTAATTTTCGCCAGAATAGTTGTCTGACTTTTTTTAACTTAACAAATGTGAATTTAATATGGAAAAATATATTGGGATTCTGTCTGTTCTGGGAGTATTATGTCTATAATTCTTTGCCTTTTTCTGGCACAGATTTAAAACTTGGATAAAAAAACAAAAACATACTTCAATAATGTGTATAATATTTGGTAAGAATTCTCAATAAAGAAATCTGATTTACTCAACATGCTGATAATATATACATTATTAGGTCAAAGTGCTAAGCGTGGTGTTGGAATACTCTTAACTTTGTCTTTTGAGAGCTGAATACTTTTTCATTCAGATTTCTGTTCAAATATGCTGTATTGTTCGTTCCTCATTCCTCTAGCCTCCCGTTGCTATCACACTATCACATTTTTCTGTTTTAATGATTTCATAGCACTTATTACTATATCTCGTTTATCTGTTCAACACTTTCAGCACACATACACACACACACATACACATACACACATATGAATACAATGGCCATTAAAGGAAGGACTTTGCTTTGTTACTGCTGTCTTCCCAACATGGAGTGTTCTAATTTGCATTTCCCAAATTATTAAGATTTATATATTAATATTTAATGTAATTAAAACATTACATTGTATTTGTAAATTTCCTGCCCATAGCCTTTGCCTATTTTTATATTGGATTCTTTTTTCTCATTGGTTTATAGGTGTTTTTAATATATTTTGAATACCAATCTTTTCTTCTATATTTTGCAACATCTTCTAGTGCATTTCTGAACTTTTGGTATTTTTAAAAAATTGTTTATGACACCTGTTTACAAATATTGTGATGTAGTCAGATTTATTCAACTTTACCTTAATGATATTCTTTATGATGTCATAAACACATTTTCTTGTAAGAGCCAAAGTTGTATTTTTTATGTTTTGGTTTTTAATCCATCTGGAATTTATTTGAATATACTATGGGGTAGAGATGTAATTCTGTTTTTTCCATATGGGAAATCATTGATCTTCACATACCTCATTGAACAGTCAAGTCTGTATTCTACTCCATCATATGCCAATTTTTCATATAGACATGTATGTGTTTTTAGACTTTCCATTCTGTTGCAGTAATATATATATATGTCTATTCTACACAAATATAACATCATTTGAATTGCTGCAGCTTTAAAATATATTCTGATATCTGCTAGTATAGCTCTGCTTCTTAGTTTTTGTTTTTCTAAATAACTTGGCTATTCTTGCATGATATGTAAACATATTAATTTTAGAAGCAGTTGGCCAGGTTCCATGAAACATGTTGTTGGGATTTTGTATGGGAGTGAATTGGACTTTTCTGATTAATTTTGAACAGACTTTTTATTCATATATATTGAGCTTTGCCTTCTGTGTACATATTTTTAGTTCACAATCTAGTCAGATGTCTTTTTGAAAAGTATCATCTGTGATGTACAATGTTGGGTTTCAACAATCACACAGAGTCATCCGTCAGTCACCTTAGTACCATCACATTCACATACAAATTCTTGTAGGAACATATGTTTTCAATTCACTTGGATAAATGCCTAGAAGTTCTATCGCTGAGTTGTATGGTAAGTCAGTGTTTAACTTCATAATAAACTATACTAAACTGTCTCCCAAAGTGGCTGTACAATTTTTCATTCCTCTTAGCCATGAAAGATAATTTCGCTGCTCTAAGTTCTAACCACCATTTGAATGTCAGTTTTTTTAATTATAGTTGTTCTAGTTACACAGTGGTATCTCATTGTCATTTTAATTTGCCTTTCTCTAGTGACTAATGAAGTTGAATAACTTCATAAGTTTGTTTTTGGTGAACCTTTTTGTTGAATTTTCAGAGTTCTTTATATGTTCTAGATATAAGTCATTTATGAGATACATGATTTATAAACAGATTCTGCCAGTTTGTTAATCATCTTGTCATTCATTATCTTAATGTGTTTTGCAGAGGAAGAGTTTTTAGGTCCAGTTCATCATTTTTGTTGCTGTTGTTTATGAATTATATTTTTGGTATTCTATCTAAAAACTCATCACCAATCTCAAGGTCATGAAGATTTTATTCTAGGAATTTTATAGTTTTATTGTTTACACTTAGGTTTATGATCCATTGGACTTAAGGTTTGTGCAACTTGTGAGCTATATGTTGAGATTTATCTTTCTGCATATGGATGTCCAGTTGTTTTAACATTTGTTTAAACAACTATCCTTCTCCATTGAATTTCCTTTATCTGCTTGTAAAATATAAATGACTCTATTTGTGTGAGTCTATTTCTGGCTTTGCTTTTCTGTGCCAGTGATCTGCCTGTCTGTCCTCACATCAATATCACACTGCTTGATTACTCTAGCTTTATAGCCTTGAGATCAGATTGTATTAGTCTTCCAACTTTGTTATTCTTTTTCAGAATTGTTTCAGCTAATCTAATTCCTTTGTCTCTTCTTGTGAACTTTAAAATCAGCTTGTCTATATCTACAAAAAATCTTGCTGTCATTTTGATTGAGATTACATTAAATATATAAATCAAATTTGTGAGAGAACATCTTAAAAATATTCAGTCTTCCAATTGATGACAATTATATATCTTGGTTTATTTAAATATTCTTTGATTTCCTTCATCAGTGTTTTTCTTCTTTTTCAATTTATATGCTATTTATTTTTTTTAGCCTTATCTTAATGATTAGGACTTCCAGTTAATGTTGAATGGGGAGTGGTGAAGGAAGATATCCTTGCCTTTTTCCTCATTTGGGGGGAAAGCATTTGGTCTTATACTATTAACTATTATATTAGAGGCAGGTTTTTTTTTTTTTTTTTTTTAAGTTCTGGTGTACATGTGCAAGATGTGCAGGTTTGTTACATAGGTAAATGTGTGCCATGGTGGTTTGCTCCACCTATCAACCCTTCACCTAGGAATTAAGCCTGGCATGCTCTGTGTAGCATTTCATGGTGTATGTATACCACATTTTCTTTATCCAGTTTACTGTTGATGGGCGTTCAGGTTGATTTCCATATCTTTGCCCTGTGAAAAGTGCATGCATGTGTCTTTATGGTAGAGCAATTTATATTCTTTTGGGTATATAACGAGTAATGGGATTAATGGGTCAAATGGTAGTTCTGTTTCAGGTTCTTTGAGGAATTCCCACACTCCTTTAAATAAACTAGTTTACAGTACCATTGGCAGTGTATATGGATTCACTATTTTCTGTAACCTTACCAGAATTGGTTACTTTTTTACTTTTTAATAGTAGCCATTTTGACTGATGTGAGATGGTATCTCATTGTGGTTTTGATTTGCATTGCTCTAATGATTAGTACTGTTGGGCATATTTTTATATGCTTTTTGACCATATCGTATGTCTTCTTTTGAAAAGTGTTCATGTCCTTTGCACACTTTTTAATGGGGCTGTTTATTTTTTGCTTATAAATTTAACTTCCTTGTAGATTCTGGATATTAGACCTTTGTCAGATGCATAATTTACAAATATTTTCTCCCATTCTGTAGGTTGCCTGTTTACTCTATTGATAATTTCTTTTGCTGTGCAGAAGTTCTTTAGTTTAATTAGGTCCCATTTTCAATTTTTATTTTTGTTGAAAACAAAAGTTGGTATCTTTATCATGAAATCTTTGCCAGGGCCCATGTCCAGAATGGTATTTCCTAGGTTATCTTCTGAGGGTTTTTATGGTTTTAAGCTTTACATTTGAGTCTTTAATCCATTTTGAGTTGATTTTTTTTATGTGGCATAATGAAGTTGTCCAGTTTCAATTTTCTGCATATGACTAGCCATTTATCCTAGCACCATTTATTGAATAGGGAGTCCTTTCCCCATTGTTTGCTTTTGTCAGCTTTGTCAAAGATCAGATGGTTGCAGGTATGTGGCATTATTTCTGGGCTCTCTATTCTGTTACATTGCTCTGTATGTCTGTTTTTATGCCAGTACCATGCTGTTTTGGTTATTGTAACCTTCAGCTTTGTTCCTTTTGCTTAGGATCGCCTTGACTATTTGGGCTCTTATTGTGTTCCATATGAAATTTAATTTAGCTTTCTCTAATTTTGTGAAGAATGTCATTGGTAGTTTGATAGGTATAGTCTTGAATCTGTAAATTGTTTTGACAGTATGGCTATTTTAATGATATTGATTCTTCTAACCCATGAGCCTGGAATGTTTTTCCATTTTTTTGTGTCATCTGATTTCCTTGAACAGTATTTTGTATTACTAATTCTTATTGTAGAGACTAACCTCTCTGTTTAGTTGTAGTCATAAGTGTCTGATAGACTGGACAGGGAAAACGTGGCACATATACACCATGGAATACTATGCAGCCATAAAAAACGTTGAGTTCATGTCCTTTGTAGGGACATGGATGAACCTGGAAACCATCATTCTCAGCAAACTGATGCAAGAACAGAAAATCAAACACTGCAGGTTCTCATTCATAGGTGGGTGTTGAACAGTGAGAACACATGGACACAGGGAGGGGAGCATCACACACTCTGGGGTCTGTGGGGGGAAAATAGGGGAGGGACAGTGGGGAATGGGGAGTTGGGGAGGGGTAACATGGGGAGAAATGCCAGATATAGGTGATGGGGAGGAAAGCAGCAGACCACACTGCCATGTGTCTACCTATGCAGCAATCTTACATGTTCTTCACATGTACCCCAAACCTAAAATGCAATTAAAAAAATAAGTGTCTTATTCTTTTTTTGGCAATTGTTAATGGCATTACATTCCTGATTTGGCTTGCCAGTTTGGATGTTGTTGCTGTATAAAAATGCTAATGATTTTTGTACATTGATTTTGTATCCTGAAACTTTGCTTAAGTTGTTTATCAGATCAAGGAGCTTTTGGGCAGACACTGTGGGATTTTCTAGATACAGAATCATGTCTGCAAATAGGCGTAGTTTATTTCCTC